CTATGAGACCATAACCTGCAGTGGGGTAACCATGTTACTGATGTTCTTGAGGCATATGGTGCCTTGAGGTGATACGTGGATTGTAAACACGGCAGCAGCTCTGTCATTTCTGACTTGGGACAAAGAGTGCTCAGTTGCACCAATTTTCTGTGATTTGTATAAAGCTGCAGTCTGCATTAGTTCATGAACTTAACTGAAGCTCAAGGCATGTTGTTTCTTGAAAGTATTTTTTGTTTAAATTTTTTGGCAGCAGGGAGTTGCCATAACATGATTTTTGTGTGTTTGCCATTAACTATGTCACTGGAGTGTCATGTGTGATAACTGAAGTGACTGCATAGTTTCAGGCCAGGCACAGTAAGACTGTTGGAGCATACATGTGGTCTTGAAAAATGTCATCTATGCAAAGAGCCAAGGTATGCTGCTTGGTGCAAGATGGTTTTTAGTGGGTGATCTGTTCACTGAACCTGAGTTTGATGTAATATGGCATGACAAATCAGTTGATTAGAAACAAGTATGCTAGGCTGCTTTTGGTTCCTAACTTTGTAGGTGTAAGGTGGGTAAGCCCTTTTGATGCCCTCCCCCCAAAAATGTTCATCTTTGCTGTGCTATGTCATGATAGGCTGGATTTGAGACTGCAAACTTTTTTTAACTGATTTGCAAAACCAATGTCAGTGCTAACTTTCAATCATGAATAACTCAAACTGATAAGCATACCTAACTTCACAAGAAAAATTGTAATTATTGTATTGTGATGCCTATGTGACACTCAACATTTTCATTTTGCAGCAATGGGCTACCTTTTCTCGCATCTGGCACATATATGATGCAAAGTGGCAGAACCCTTTTGAATCAGCCAAGCTAATTGCAGCATATTTGAAGGGGCAGCACAAACCAATATATCACCCCTTGAGTAAGTATAACTGCATTGCTTTGCGGAAGGCAAACTAAACGTGCACTGTGCATCTTGTGTTCTGTTTGTATAATGCATTTTTAGCTCAAAGTACAGCCAGTAAAAACATCAGGTTGAATGCCATTTTATTTTCTCTAGACTTCATTGTCTCCTATGTCTTGTGCCCCCTGTGGATTGTCCAAGCAGTTCAGTTTACAGACTATCCATTCAAAATAAAGACATTCACATGTTTCATCAGGATCTGCTTGTAGCCATAGGTGCAGCAGCCCATCATAAGTGTAGGTCATCAGAACCTTCATGCACCAATGTTTTCATTGCATTATGCACATTTTCAACTTGAGGGCACTGCCAAGGCTGGCATCAGCTTGCTGTGGCCAACTAGTGTGAACTGTCCGAAATGCACTGCACTTTGCTAGGGCTGCTGGTAGTGACCACACTTGGAGTCAGTTGGTGCCAATAACAGCTCTGCCCAGCTGTTTCTAGACTTGAAATGGGATCATTATGTTTTGGATTAACTTTAGTGCACCTTCCATTACTGCAGTTAGTTTCACTCATTACGCAGTTTGTGATAGCCACCAAAGGTGACAATCCCTGTAAGCAATGCATGTTTATTGTTCATGGCCAACAGACCTGCCTACCAGGCTCCTCATCCTCATTTGTGCCAGTTTGCTCCGTCGATCAGCTATGTGATGGTTTGACTCGCTGCCTTCGCCGAGACATGACGCCATCCGTTCATGACAGGCGACTGCGGCGACCACGTGGTGGTGACAAACTGTCGGGAAATCGCCCTTCCCGGGCCCGAATGGTACCAGCGGGTCTTCTTCCACCACACAGGCTACCCTAAGGGCGGCGCCACCTGGACGCTGGCCTGGGAGCTGCACCGGAAGAACCCGACCATGGTAGAACTGAGAGCCGCAGGGCGCCCGGCACGAACGCTCCTAAACGTTTCAGGTCGCTACCTTGCAGGTGCGCATGGTACAAGACTATTACGCATCGATGCCTTCTCAATTTTCCCGCCACCACGATTCATGGATTGCGGTGCGATCCCTCCCCCCCCCCCCCCCGCCCCCGGCATCCCGGCTCATCGTAGGGCTGACACATCCCGTTTTTAGATGCGTCACTTGTTCGCCATATCGATCGCTGTGTTGTGTCATTCACGTTTTGAATGTTGTGCCGTCTTATCAGGTTGCGTTAGTGTCACCATACGCCAGTTGCATGTGTTTTAGGCAGAAACTACCCGTTTGCCATAAAAGTCACGTCCTGCCTTGCCGCTGCGTAAGACGTTCAAACAATGGTACGCGCTGTACACCGTCCTTACGCAGCGTGTCTGCAAGTCCCCCCATTAAAATACTGCACATGTGTGGGACCGGCGGTGCCCCTGACCTTGCTCACTGCTGTACCTGTGCGCGCTTGTGCGGGCCAGATTATGCAGCGGGCGGTGCACCGGGCGGTGGGCGGCACGCTGCTGCGCAAGCCCCTGATGGCGCGCCTCCACCTCGTGGCCGACGCCGAGGTGCCCGCCGAGCTGCTGCGTCACGTGACCAGCCAGATGACGCAGCTGCGGCCGCAGCCGCGCCGGCTCGACTCCTACACCGAGCAGGAGGTGCGCGACTTCCCCAAGGTGTTCGATTATCCGGCTGATTATGTGGTGAGATAGGTCACTGAGTGGAGCGGGCGAGCGCTGACTGGGACTGCGGGGCGGTCGGTCGAGCTGGTCGCTGGCTGGTGGGGTGGGAGCGAGCGCGTGCTGTCGTGTGCGTGCAGTGGTGAGAGCGTGTTGTGACTCATTGGGAATACAAGTGGAGATTGATACGCCTGGAGACTGTAGTGTTCTGTCGGTCAGCGTCCGTACTTTGTGGATAGTTAGGGACAGCAGTCCCGACTCCTGGTGCCAGGAGAGGTCAGAGCCCGGTGTGTAGTGCTGGCGTCGTTCCAGCTCGAGTCAGACGCCGCGGATGCGTCAGACGCACGACACGCTGGTCGGAATTTCAACTGGGGCCCTCGTTTTCTCCCCATAGTGAGGAAATTATTCAACACGATGCACGTGCCGGGACCTTTGAATGTGCGTGTAGGATCCCGCGGCGCGGCCTTCATGCGCTACGGCAAACTGGTTTGTACACTTGCCCTCCGCTCCGCGCAGTCTGGGAGTCCTATCCACGGTTAACGAGACCTTTGCCAGTAGAGATAGAATCCGTTCCTGTCGATGTCTTTGTGGTTTAAGCCCGTGGTTAACCTACCAAAGTTACTGGACTCATCGATGAGTCAGCTCAAAGGAGGTGTCAGACTGGACTGTATCATTGTTACTTAATGTTGATGCGCGTGCAGTAAATGCAAAAAAAAGGCCTTGTCCTGGGTCGGGGCCAACTGCAACTTGGCTTGCGCTGCCCAGTCAGAGTCGATATTAACTCAGTTGGCTCCGAGTCGAAGCGGAAATGGATTCCATCGGCACGATTATCCCCACTGCAAATGGGGGCAAATGGCTCAGCCTGTCTGATCCGGCGCCAACGCTGTCTTCTTACCGCGATCGCAGCATTTATTCACGCGCCACCGCGAGAGTGCTTTTATTACGAAGCGCCTGCATTAAGCTGCGTCAGTTAACGCAACTGCCCCGGCAGGGGATTCGATTACAAATATTGGGCGACAAAGTATGCCCATCAACACAGCGCGGACGGATGGGATTCGGTACCAAGTATAGGGCGACAAGGCATCAACACCAGTCAAAAATGCGTGGACGGACGAGATTCGATACCTAAATACAACCCGACAAAGTGCGGATTCGAGACAACACAAAGTGGACGGACGAGATTCGGTCTCTAAATACAACCCGACGAAGTGGGGATTCGAGACAGCACGGTGCGTATGGACGATCCCTAACTACAACCCGACAAAGTGCGGATTCGAGACAACACAGTGTGGACCGACGAGTTTCGACCGCACACACTGGGCGACGGCGCGGCAACGCGTGTCACAACACGGCACACGCTGCGGCATCCTTCAACAGGCGTGAGCACGTGCCAGCAAAAAACGGTAGCAGTGTGAAGTGCAAAAGCAGAGGTAAATGGAGGAACACAGGTTCAGATACTTAACGTGACAAAAGGGAGTCCAGTGCCCGAGGAACGGGATGCTGGCTGTGCCCTTCTGCTTGGATCCATCCGCATTTAATGACGTGGAGTTTACATTTAGCTCCACCACATCTTACCCAGCGTCGGCAAGAAAAAAGGTAGCGGCAGGCGGCCGCGCAATACGACGCGCCAGCATGGCGTTCCCCTTCGCCACTGTGCTGACTCCGTCCGCGGGCCACCGGATGGAAGTCGCATAAAAACCACAAGCAGGCCCTCTTGGACGCGACGTCCACCCGGCCCGCGTTGCGTTGGCCCGCCTTTGCCAGGGGTAAACAGAGATAGGAGACCCGAGGGCCTGGCTGGCGGACAATTTAGTAGCCCGTAATCCTCACGGGGCCTTGAAATAGCATCAAGGACGGGAAGCCAAACGTGCGGCGAATGCCTTTATACGAGGCTTCTACAGAGAACGTCTCATTTAAGTACATGGAACAATGAACAGGCATCTATATGCGGTCTCACGACTAAAACAGGACCTAAAGCTACCGCACAGCTGCATTAACTGTAACTGGATGCATTTTGGCATAGTTTCGATAAATGAATGTCTTTAACACAATGAGAACGTACAGATGCAGGATGGACACAGCTATACAGCTGACGAGCGTGCCAAGCAGACGATCGCAGAATAACATGGCGAACAGCGGAATGAAAGATGCTACTTTGGTGTCGTCGACAGACTGAGCCTCACTTCACATGGAAGACTGGACACTGAAACGCGCTGAGATTCTGTCGCGTAGCCGCGGACGCACTGCACAAAGGCGCTGCCAATGCTGGCCCAGCGCGGGGCTATGCCAGCGCCACACACGGCCGCTGAGCCGATACGCTATCCTCGGAGCGGGCCGAAACGCAACGGAACGGACCGATACGATACATGAAAACACGAAGTGCGTCACAGCTACTGGAGTAGAATGCGTTAATTGACGCAAGTGAGCGTCATCTGGCCAGTACTGACCAAGAGCGTACATGTGATACAAGGCAGCACCTGAAGGATTAGGGAGGGGGGGAGGGGGGGTACACTTGAAACGTGGGCGCGATACGTGCGCCTCGTAAAACGGGCAATACTGCCCACAGGGTGTAACAAATCGAAGCATCCAAAAGAATAAAAGCATCAGATTACCATACAACCATCATGCCAGGTTACCAAGATTGCCAGCCGTCGACTGCTCGCCCGCTCCAGTCCACACCCCGCAGCGTGACGGGTCCGGTCCAGCCCGGGGACCACCTGCGGCCCGCGCCGCTCCGGTACACTGGCGCCCCTGGCGGCCGGCGACCGAACGAGGCCGCAGACGAGCGCGGCCTGCCGGTGACCCTAGCGAGCCCCGAGCGCGCCCTGCTGGGGGCCCTAGCGGGGGCCGAGCCAGAGCGCAACAGCGGCGCCTATCGCCAGCAGCGCCGCAGAGGCAGACGCCAGGCCCGAGGACGAGTAGAAGGGACAGTAGGGGCACTGGTAAGAGCCGCACACCTCGCAGATGTTGAGCACGTGCAGGACGGTGGAGTTCACCATCTGCATCTCGAACAGCTCTGAAAGAGTGAACCGGCGGTGTCAGCGCGTACGTGCAGATCACAGTTGTTCGACCTAGTTTTTCACTCGCTTTGCAACTGAACAGAATGCGATAGCTTCAACACGCACTTCGCACGACAAAAACTCGAAAATACCCTCTCTTCATCCCTCAAAATTGGATCAGGCACGAGATTAAACCACGACGCTTTTATAAGCTTTGTCCAGCTCTTCGATGTGTGCAACAATCGGAACTGACCGCGACCGCAACCGCCTTTGGTAGACTCCAGACCTAGCATCGTGCGATATTTTTGTATGAAAAATGACACCAGTCAATATCACAGCCACTTAACCGCGCCGAACAATGGTGTTCGCCGTTCATTTTGAAGGTGAGCCGAAATACCGCTATCGGCGGCTCATCGAATGCCGCGTCTCCAGACGGTTCCAACCCCGCGCACGGATGACGTAGTCGCGCGACAAAGCCTCGCGCATTCTCTTGCTCCAGACCTGCGCAGTCGCCGACTCCCTCGCAGCAAAGCCGGCAATCCAACCCCAGCGCAACCGGGTCCGCCGCGTGGTCGGCGCGGCCTGACGCCCCGCCCCCTCCCCCGCACTCACCCGGCTGGAACTGCTCGTACAGCAGGGCGCGCCGGTACTTGGTCATGTTGGCCACCGGGAACCAGCGGCGGATCGTGTAGTTGAAGCACAGCGTCTCGTTGCCCGGAATCTGAGGCGAGGCGCAACACGGAGCCGCGTCAGTGGCAATAGTCGCAAACGGCCAAATGACATGGGCCGTATTTTCAGAGACTGGGAAACGGACAGCCCCTGAGAACCACATATTGATATGTGAAAAAAAAAAGAAACTATCAAACCCAGCTTACGGGGGGTCTAGTTTAATCATCAGATATGACGGCTACGGCACGCCGTGGACTCCAACACATAACGAGAAGCGACCAAGCAGGAACATCCTTCGACACTAGAGACCGTTCCCGCGCCGCCACTGCGGCGTCGGGGCGACTTCGCGCCGAGGTCAGCACCGCACACACTAGGGAGAAAATGCGCTACAGCGCGACTACCGCGAACACCTGCGACGGATGAGCGCAAAAACAACACAACATCCCAATACGTGGAAAGTGCGAGAAGTACCGCTAAAAAAGAGTGTAGGAAGTGTCACTAAGCCATGCGTCACATGATCCAGCGGCCGGCAACCATAGCAGCAGGAAAAGAGCGCCCGTCGCATCCCGTATGACCGCGGCGACCTGACGCCCAACACCCGACGGCCGGAGCGCCGCTGGCCATCACTCACGTAGTCGAAGAACCACGTGGTGGCGCGCTCGTGGCCGTAGGCGTGGCCGCCGATGACGTCACGCAGCTGGGGGGCGCGACCGGCGCGTGCCGCGTGCACCACGGCGTCGCCCTCCGGCTGGTACAACACGTAGCCAGTGGGGTTCTCAATCTCGAGCACGGCCGAGCCGCTCTGGGGAGCCTCGTCCAGGAACAGCCACCTGCCGACGGGAGAGGGGGGGGGGGGGGGCGGGGGGGGGGAGGACGAGTTAGAGGACGGGCGGCACTCGTGGTGCTGGAAGAACAGCTAACTGAGGGGTGGGATGGCGATCAATGTACACCGAATTTGTGGCAAAGATGAGAGAGGCGTTCTAGCGCAACACTTCATGCCGCCACTGCAAAACCTTCACATCTCCACCGCAAACACCTTCACACCTCCACCGCAAACACCTTCACATCTCTATCGCAAACACCTTCACACCTCCACCGCAAACACCTTCATATCTCCATCGCGAACACCTTCACACCTCCACCGCAGATACCTTCACACCTCCACCTCCACCGCGGGACAGGCAACATTAAACGGCAGCGGTCATCTCCGGTCGGTACCCTCGATCAGCCACCTGCGGGCGGTACCCTCGGTGGGCCCCTTCCGGTCGGTATCAACCTCCACACACGCGCGACTCCAGCGCCCCAGCGCCGGCACATCCGAGCCCAGCCTGCAGCCGCTCACTTGGCGCAGACGTCGACGATGCCGATGGACTTGTTGCGGAAGCGCTGGAAGTCCTCACGCACGCTGAGCTCGAACGACTTGGCCGGCGGCCGCTTGATGCCGTTCTGCGTGTCGACGCCGTAGTTGACGTCCAGCTGGACGACCGCCTGACCGGCGCCGTTGCCGATCACGTTCAGATGGCCCCAGACGTTCTCAAACTGCCGGCCACGCGGCGCGTGACGGGAAGCATGGGAAGGCTCGCGCACCGTCAGGCGACAGCTCGGTCAAGGAACGCACCGTGCGCACGCTGTATACCTGGGGAATACTGAAGTCATACTTTGCATGCGTGGGTGGGCATACCAGCTACGTGAGCGAATTTTGCAATGAAGGAAGCGATGCCTTCAGGTTGTGGTATGCCACTTAAGGCTTGCTGCTGACGATTATCTGGGGCTTTAATTTTTAATCAAGCATTGACAATCCTACCTGCCCAAGTTAACGACCTTCGTTCATATGTACTTGGGCCGATTCTACCAAGACGCAAGCAGTGCCGGCGTCGCCTCAGCCCCCATCGCCAGCTCCCGACAACTCTGCAGCGCCCCGTCCCGGACAGGCAGCGCTCACGAGCGCCACCCCTCCCCCTCCTCCCGAGCCCGGCGGGGAGCGACGCTCACTCACCGGCAGGATGCGCGTGCGCGCGAGCGTGGCGTTGTTGATGCCGATGGTGGAGTCGAGCTCGGAAGCGGTGGCCTCGATGCTGACCCGCATGTCGGTGATGTCCCGCAGACGAGCCCGGTACGAGTACTCCACCAGCGCGCGCAGCGCCACCAGCGTGTCCTGGCCGAAACACGCCGTGTGTGTGTGACGTCACATAGGCGCGCGGGTGACGTCATACGGCCGGGAGCGGTGTCCCGCGGAGAGTGGGAGGCATGAGACGATAGGTTGGCGCCTATGGCAAAACGACACGGCACTGGCGCCACACCGGCGCCGGATGACGTCACTTGACCATGTGAGCGGGTCGTAATACCAGAGATGACACCACAGCCAGTAGCAGTCAGCAGCTCCATCGCATGATCTGTCTCTGCAGTGGCCAGTGAACAACAGCATTCCCATTGGGCTTACTTGACAACAGTTCGAACATCACAGAACCGACGGACATGCCAGTCCCTCTCACATGGGTCAGCTCGTAACGATGTCACCTATACAACCCCACAAACAACGCTATCACCACCCCAATTCATCGTAAGGTAGAGGTGGGCCGGGCAGGTCAGATGTCTGGGTGCGGGGTCAAAGGCAGCGGACTAGTGCCGACGAGTTGGGTGTAGAGGCCACAGGAGAGCCAGTACTCTGGTAGCAAGAATTTTCATTTACATCCTGGACACCCTAATGAATGAATTTTGCGACGCTGCTTCGACCATTACGTCCATTTCGCGCCCATTCCTACGCATGAGGCCCTTCACTCTTGGAGGTATCCATCAGAAGTCGTCAGCGTCAGCAGCATTAGCTGCAGCTGCCATGCGTCGGTGAATCCACCAGCCGTAGGCTCACCGTGGTGGTGATGAAACCGCCGTCGTGAAGCCGCATGGTGTTGAGCCACAGCACCATCTTCTCCTGGTCGATGTTGATGCCGTCGCGGATCAGGTAGACCAGCAGCGCGTACGCCGTCGTCTCCACCGCCCGGGTGTCGTACAGCTGGGGGGCAGGGCTCACGTGAGGCCAGGTCAGGTCAGGTCTGGGCCGGCCGCGCGCTGGGCAGCTGAGGCGGAGCACGCTCCCCGGCCGGAGCTGGGGGCTGCCATGACCGGCCGGGGCTCTGGGTCAGGTACACGTGACGTGGGCCGGGATCAGCGGCGGGCCGCGCCGTCTCGCCGCACCCCAGGGCGCTGTGTCGGCCGGCACGGCGCGTCCGTGTGGCGACCGAGCGCGAGCGGCTCCGGCCGCACGCGACCCGCTTCCCCTCCCGGCGTTCTCACACACGCACACTTCGGCGATTCCCTCCAGTAAAGGCTGGGCCCACCCTGAGCGGACCACGAGCCCGCGGCGGCGCCGAGCGGCGGCACGGCGGCCAGGCCGACCCACCTGCTCCAGCTTGGGCTGCAGCAGGTTGCGCTGGCTGTTCTCGTTGGTCAGCCGGTTGGTCTCGATCGGAGCCGGTGACCAGTAGATCATGCCATCTGCCGCGATGGCCACGGTCAGCGGTGAGCGACGCGCCCAGCGGCACAGGCCGCACAGAGCGCGCGAAACCCATTTGGGAACCAACCGTTGATCAATGACGTTTCCAGATACACGCGTCCAGCAACATCGGCGCTGCGAAAATCAATGGTGCCAGTGTGGTTTAATTCATGGCGCAAATGCCAGCTGGGAGAAGTCCACAATGCTGTAGCATCACGAACGATGTTGGCAATCTAAACGGTGAAAGCGGTAAAAATGGCAAAGTAAGCAATCCAGCGGTCATCCTTTTGCTGACGCCGGCACGGAAGGGACATTGTATCACACACCCGAGCTACACGCTCACTAACAACCACAGATAGTAGAGACTGCCGTAACGAGACGTACCGACTTTCCGTTTCATGCGATCCAACAGGTTGTAGGCTACATCCCGCTCGCCGCTGTTGGCCAGGCTGAGGGCGTACGCCACGACGGCCACCTCGTAGGGCCGCGACAGGGAGGGCAGCTGCTGCTCCAGATACCTGTCGCCGCCGGACGAGACACGTCACAACAGGGTAGGGAAGCTCATCACGGGCATGGTGGCGCGCCATCACATGACGGGTGTTCTCAGATGATACCAGACCGTCACACGGTACCAGATCATCACATGATACCAGATCATCACATGACACCAGACCATCACATGATACCCGATGATCACATGATACCACATTATCACATGATATCAGAGTATCACACGATATCAGATTATCGCATGATATCAAATCACCACATGATACCGGACGATGAAATGACACAACGGATCACTACGGGGGCACACAGCCGTCCACTTCACGGTATGTGCAACTGGGAACAGGACCTGGCGCTGTCGCCATTGCGGTCCTACGGCACCGACTCCGCTGCTGAGTGTATTTCATGACATTGGCTGCCTCTCCGCTGGCAGGAAGGGCCAGCGTCGCAGGGAATTCAGCCCGCGGCAAGGTTTCACATACGGATGCAGGTGTCTGGCACATCACAGCATGGCACGCGATCACTCGCAAATGGAATGCATCGTGCAAATCCTCAATCCCAGCCCGCGTCGCCACTGGACGGCACAGAAACAGGGACTGAAAACCCAGCTCACTGCTGCCACGAAGCATGACAACGACACCCACAAATATCAATGGTATAGGTGCGTGTACATGTACATGCTGACATGCAACTAAATCGAAGGCCACGACGCAACACTTGGCTAATGACAGGTTGCGTCAATGCAAGGGTAAAGCAACACACGCCTGCAGCTCCAATCTGTAGATCAAACACAACCTGTTCGGCATTGGCCAACAAACTTTCCTCTGCAGCACAACAGCGTCCGCGCCATCCCACGCCGCCGGCGGCCGCACCCCGCGACGGAGACCTCGCCCTGATGGCGGCCGATCTTGGCGTCGTTGGCCGCGCGCGCGCAGGTCGCCACTGTAAGCGCGTCGATGTTGGCCAGAAGCGTGGATGACGCCTGCGCCGTGCAGCGAGATGTTGCGCAAGGCGGCACGGGGTCAGCCAGCCGGGTACGACTGCGGCGGACACGGCCCGGGACGGTGAGGGCGAGGGCGGAGGTGTTGACGTCAGAGGCGGAGATTGCACGGCCGGCAGCGGCGGACACGACCCGTGACGGTGACACGAGGGCGGAGGTGGTGACGTCAGGAGCGGAGATCACACGACCGGCAGCGGCGGACACGACACGGGACGGTGACACGGGGCGGAGGTGGTGACGTCAGAGGCGGAGATCACACGGGCGGCCGCGGCACACAACCCGTGACGGTGACACGAGGGCGGAGGTGGTGACGTCAGAGGCGGAGATCACACGGCCGGCAACGGCGGACACGACCCGGGACGGTGGCACGAGGGCAGAGGTGGTGACGTCAGAGGCGGAGATCACACGGACGGCCGCGGCGGACACGACCCGTGACGGTGACACGAGGGCGGAGGTGGTGACGTCAGAGGCGGAGATCACACGGACGGCCGCGGTGACGCATCTAGCCACACAGAGACGACGTGACGCCGAAGCCCGTCGCGGAGTGGCTGACACCCAGACGCAGTCGCGCCCACCCAGCCCACCCACGGGGTGCCGTGCTCCCAGCATATACACTTCAAACACGACCGACCGACAGTCCTGGCCTATACCCTCAAGTCGTCGTCTCCGAGTTGACAAACCTTGGGGTTCATCTTGGGGTCGAGAGGGATGCTGTAGTTGCTCGTCTCATGGAAGGCACCGGTCCGCACGTCCTGGTGCTGGACCAGCCAGCCCATCGCCTTGGAGATGATTTCCGGCTCAATGTACAGGAAGTTCTCCCAGTCCTGGAACTTGGCCTCTTGGAAGATGCGGGTGACCCAGGCCGTCAGCCTGCAGACGCACCACACGCGCCGCTGTGTCACCGGTCCGAACCTCCCACTGCAAGGTCACTGTTCAGAGCACTGATGCGTGCGGAGTGTTGCGAAACGTCGCGGTATAAAGAATTCCTACGAACAGGCTCGGCGTACATGATGGAGTGGTAGACACACAGGCGCATAACAGCAACTAGATGGGTTAAGTATTACCATTAATAATGCTTATGTGAGAAGAAATTAACAGTGCAAATCGGACGAGTTGTACACGACATGCTCTACTTGAAAGGTTTTAAAGAAGATAGCCGGATAAACTCGTCGGTCCACGAAAAAAAAACTTAGCCTGCTTCACAACGCCACCTTGCGAAGCCTCCATTTTTTGGTCAGTTTCAGCACACATAAGTACAAACACGACAATGAAGCGTTCCCTGTCACCACCCGCCCACCCGGTAACGGCATCGCGCGGGGAGGGCACGAGCCCGGCCTCACCACACAGACGGCGGCGAGCTGTCCCACATGCGGTAGGCTCCGTCGCTGCCGAACCGGTACATAATGGCAGCCATGTCCACGTTCATCTGGTCGAAGATGCTCCGCGCGAAGCTCAGCTTAAACTGATTGGTGAGGCGGAGATAGTGCAGCGACCAGACGTTGGCGCCGAAGTCGAAGGCGGACGCCTCTGTGCTGCGGAGCCGCCGGTTCAGCAGCAGCTCCGTGTTGACCGGGCCGCCGGTGGGGAACACCGGACCGACCACATCGCCTGGCGGCCGGGCAGAGGGCGGTCAGCTCGCCCCGTGGCAGCAGAGACACGCCGACCAGATGAGTCCGCAAACACCGCAGTCACCCGGCCCGGAGCAGCGGGCGCCGCGCCGCCCGTCGCTCGTCAGCTGGCGTGCGACAGCCGGCGTCACTGGGCGGCGGGTGGACGCCTCCGCCTCTGGAGCGCCTGTCACATGTCAGCAGGCCCGTCACACATGTGACGGTAAGTGACTCACTCGCCAGCGGGAATTTCGCTGTCCGTATGGAAGTGCGACGGCTCCTGCAACCCCCAGCTCCCGTCACTCACACTCGGAAGGTGACGTGACCCACGAGGCCGTCACACCCACCTCAGACGGTAAAGTGAGCCACAAGGGGCCGTCACACCCACCTGGGCGGTGACGTGACTCACGAGGGCCGCCACATCCGTCTGAGACGGTGACGTGACCCGTGAGAGGCCATCACACCCACCACCTGAGACGGTGACGTGACCCACGAGAGGCCGTCACACCCACCTGAGACGGTGACGTGACCCACGAGAGGCCGTCACACCCACCTGAGACGGTGACGTGACCCACGAGAGGCCGTCACACCCACCTGAGACGGTGACGTGACCACGAGAGACCATCACACCCACCTGAGACGGTGACGTGACCTTCGGGCGAGTCAAATACGAAGCGGCGCCACGAGGCGTACGGTACGACCGGCGACTGCTCCACGATCACGTCCAGGTACTTGAACTCTACCGCCCGGTTCTTCAGGTCGAGCAGGAACGACGTGTGCCTATTGATTGTGACGCCCTCCGGCTGGCGGAGAGGGCGGTGCCGCGTGACCTTCACACCGGTCAGAGGTCAGGGACGGCACGCTCGACGCTGTGACCGCGGCCGTAGTGCGCCACGCTATGTACAGGGCGTGCGTTCCGTACGTCGAGGTAACAACGGACGTGGGATAAATGCACAGAAATCAGGAGTATCCCCGGATCTGTTTCCGCTATGCCCACGCCGGTTCATATAGACGCCCGCGACATTTTGAGCGTTGTAGTTCGTGGGAGGAAGTCACGAACAAGAGAATCGGAAATGAAGCCACGGCAGCGGTATATGCTTCGAGGATCGACAAGTGTGGACCAGTATCGGATGCTAAAAACCTGGATGCTGGCTAAATACGCTATAAATAGTAGTGTTCTGCACGTGTCCTTGTTAACACATGTGACTGCATGATATGGAAAAACCAGCTTGGCTGCCTGTTGTTCGGCGACTGTTGTTGCATCGTTCACCTGCTGCTCTAAGCACAACAAAATACCGAGAATTTGCGCCACCTAAATCCAAACCAAACATGCGTGTCAAAATCTTAACTTGTGAAGCATTGTGACGCCAAACGTTTACAACGACTTTGCAGATCATCAACAATAGCTGCAATTAAAAACAGTTGGATTTAGCCCCAGCACGAAATAACAAAGTTGGTTACGATTCGATACATGAATTGTGCATTGAATCATATCCGTTTTTACTACAACTGAACGACACCCTTTTCTATTCTAGACGCGCCTCGCGACAACCTTTCCAGTGATTCTGCGAAGCAAAAAGGGTCAAAATTGAAGTGGCGACTTTCCTCCCTCCGGCCGCACCAATACACGCTCACATCACCGGCTACCAAATAGAAGAAGGCTGCACAAGCTGTTCGTGGGGCAGGTGCGCGGAAAGGCATGCCAGACATGCAACCGCCACAGGTTCACTCCCTTTCACCGAAAACAGTCGGCGACTGCGTGTTTCGCAGAGCGGGCGCGACCAAACCCCGCACAAATCACCCCACAATCACAGCCCTATCCCCACACACCAGCGGCGCCCCGCCGTGCCCCGCGGCCCGCACCGGCATCTGCCTGCGCCCCAGCGGCGGCGACTGACCTCGATCCGCATGGTGCGCGTGACGTCCTCGCGGCCGACCTGAGTCATGGCCGTCAGTGTGACGGTCAGCTCGCCCTGCTGGATGCGCGGCGCGATCGGCACGTCCACCTCCACGCTGGTGAAGGGCGGCAGCTGGCGCCCAGGTCACGTCAGGTCAGGTCAGGTCGGGCCGGGCGCGGCGCTCGGCGGAGCGGGACGCCCGTAAGACGGGCGTCCCGTCAAAAAGTGGCGTAACAATAAGATAGCGTTGTGATCTGTCATACCGCCACAAAGAACGAAGACAAGACACAACATTGACATTCAACACGGCCGCCTCCTTTCATTTTATAGATCTGTCAACTTAGCATGAAGACATCCATTTTTTACTTCGCAACAACTGCACAAGCTGATCAGTGAAACGGAAGCTTGGGGGGTCTAAGGTCAAACTCTTCAGGAACACCATCAGTCATCCGTCTCGGCACACCCTTACCTCGAGAGATGCTTCCTCCCCCCATCCCCCCCCCTTCACACACACGCACACAGCCGTCGCCCCGGCCGCTCGGCCTCTGCACCCACCGGCACGAGGTGCTGGTGCGCGCCGCCAGACAGGCGCGGTCGGAAGTGCTGCACGAAGCCGTCAGGCTCGACGTGCACGAACTGGTACTGGTCGCTGGCGGGCAGCACCAGCAGCGCCAGCATCTCCTGGGCCACGTTGTTGGTGAGCACGGCGCGCACGCCCACCTGCTCGCCGCGCCGGCACCGGTCCGGCATCTCCATCCGCATGTAGAACGGCGTCGTCGTGTTGTACTGGCGGAGAGCGGAGGGGGTTCATGACGGTTGCTGGACGGAGCCGACGAGCAGCCGAAGGCATGGTCATACGGCGTAAACAGGTCACTGCTGCTTCTTCTGTTATAAAGACCACAGAGGGTTATTTCAAACAGATCGCGGGATTCCTTTCATGTCAAGTCATTTAATATCCAAGGCCGCACAACTTACCACGACCGGGCGCTCGATGATGGCGAAGCCGTTCTGCTGGTTGACACTGAAGCCGGTCACATAGTAGAGGGCGTTCTGTTTGGGCACCTTCAGAATCACCTCTTCGGTCGCCTTGTAGCCTACACGGCCGGACAGAGGGCCATGTTGGCGCGAGGCACACCGCAACGCTGCGCCGAGCCCACCCCGGCGCCGACACATCCAGCCGGAGCTGAGCACGGCAGACTCTCAGCGCTCTACCCACGCACCCACCCGCTGCCAACGATCGCACCGAATGGCCACACCCGGCTTGCAAACTTTTGAGACAATACCGATTGACGACTGACTGAAACAAGTCTGCTCTATTAAAAATTGTTATAAATGTACCTAGTAACGTACCAGAATACAGCGCATTCAGTAAGACTTCCGATGGTATTGTTGCGTGACTGGGATTCGACCAACATCAAAATCTGACCGTCAAAGTAAAAATCTCCGCGCTGCACCGCTGACCGTGGACAAATGACAGCGCCGCGGACACCAGCACCACGGATGCCAGCACCCACGGACGCCAATGCCACAGACGCCAAAGCCGCGGACGACAGCGCCCACGGACGACAGCACCCGCGGACACCAGCGCCACAGACGTCAGCATCTACGGACGCCAGTATCGCCGACGGTAGCGCCCACCCACCGATATTGACATCGCGCCAGATCCAGTCGCCTTGGCGCTGGTTGTAGAGCGTGCGCAGCCGGTTCTTGCGCTCGAGCCGGAAACGCGCCGCGTCCCGGTCCTCGACGGCCGGGCAGTCGTGCTCGTCGGAGCCGTCGACGCAGGCGCGCCGGCCGTCGCAGCGGTCGGCCTCGCGGTAACAGCCAGACGTCAGGCACGGCAGCAGGCCTTGGCTGGCGTTGCATTGGGCTGCGGCAGATCAGGGGGCTCTCGGCACAGGTGTCGGCAGTCGGCGGCTGCTTCGCAACACCTGCCGCGTCTCGCCGGGGTCTGCCGGCCGACGCCACAGGACCGGCGCGGTGACGACGCGCGGCGCGCCGGCACACAAAGAGACTGGAGAGAGAGCGGGCGCTAGCAGCGGACCGTCGGGCGGAGTACATCCAACAGCAGTGGCATGCTGCTGCTGGGGTAATGATAATATGGGCATTCTCCCGTCACAAAACTGGGGAGCAGCGAACATCGAACAGACCGCTGCTGAGAAACCACTATTCCAACACGTCTGCCTGCGTCTTTGGCGTCAAAAATGGCACGTCGGAGGGCCGTCCCCCGCTGACGTACCGGCGAGGGTCACGGACAGCAGGGCACCTCGGCGTCTGAGAACACCACCGAGAACAGCACCACACCCCAGTGACGTACCGGCGAGGGTCACGGACAGCAGGGCACCTCGGCGTCCGAGAACACCACCGAGAACAGCACCACACCCCAGTGACGTACCGGCGAGGGTCACGGACAGCAGGGCACCTCGGCGTCCGAGAACACCACCGAGAACAGCACCACACCCCAGTCACCCCAGTGACGTACCGGCGAGGGTCACGGACAGCAGGGCACCTCGGCGTCCGAGAACACCACCGAGAACAGCACCACACCCCAGTGACGTACCGGCGAGGGTCACGGACAGCAGGGCACCTCGGCGTCCGAGAACACCACCGAGAACAGCACCACACCCCAGTGACGTACCGGCGAGGGTCACGGACAGCAGGGCACCTCGGCGTCCGAGAACACCACCGAGAACAGCACCACACCCCAGTGACGTACCGGCGAGGGTCACGGACAGCAGGGCACCTCGGCGTCCGAGAACACCACCGAGAACAGCACCAACCCCCAGTGACGTACCGGCGAGGGTCACGGACAGCAGGGCACCTCGGCGTCCGAGAACACCACCGAGAACAGCACCAACCCCCAGTGACGTACCGGCGAGGGTCACGGACAGCAGGGCACCTCGGCGTCCGAGAACACCACCGAGAACAGCACCACACCCCAGTGACGTACCGGCGAGGGTCACGGGCAGCAGGGACACCTCGGCGTCCGAGAACACCACCGAGAACAGCACCAACCCCCAGTGACGTACCGGCGAGGGTCACGGACAGCAGGGCACCTCGGCGTCCGAGAACACCACCGAGAACAGCACCACACCCCAGTGACGTACCGGCGAGGGTCATGGGCAGCAGGGCACCTCGGCGTCCGAGAACACCACCGAGAACAGCACCACACCCCAGTGACGTACCGGCGAGGGTCACGGACAGCAGGGCACCTCGGCGTCCGAGAACACCACCGAGAAAAGCACCACACCCCAGTGACGTACCGGCGAGGGTCACGGACAGCAGGGCACCTCGGCGTCCGAGAACACCACCGAGAACAGCACCACACCCCAGTGACGTACCGGCGAGGGTCACGGACAGCAGGGACACCTCGGCGTCCGAGAACACCACCGAGAACAGCACCACACCCCAGTGACGTACCGGCGAGGGTCACGGACAGCAGGGCACCTCGGCGTCCGAGAACACCACCGAGAACAGCACCACACCCCAGTGACGTACCGGCGAGGGTCACGGGCAGCAGGGACACCTCGGCGTCCGAGAACACCACCGAGAACAGCACCACACCCCAGTGACGTACCGGCGAGGGTCACGGACAGCAGGGCACCTCGGCGTCCGAGAACACCACCGAGAACAGCACCACACCCCAGTGACGTACCGGCGAGGGTCACGGACAGCAGGGCACCTCGGCGTCCGAGAACACCACCGAGAACAGCACCACACCCCAGTGACGTACCGGCGAGGGTCACGGGCAGCAGGGACACCTCGGCGTCCGAGAACACCACCGAGAACAGCACCAACCCCCAGTGACGTACCGGCGAGGGTCACGGGCAGCAGGGACACCTCGGCGTCCGAGAACACCACCGAGAACAGCACCAACCCCCAGTGACGTACCGGCGAGGGTCACGGACAGCAGGGCACCTCGGCGTCCGAGAACACCACCGAGAACAGCACCACACCTCAGTGACGTACCGGCGAGGGTCACGGGCAGCAGGGACACCTCGGCGTCCGAGAACACCACCGAGAACAGCACCACACCCCAGTGACGTACCGGCGAGGGTCACGGACAGCAGGGCACCTCGGCGTCCGAGAACACCACCGAGAACAGCACCACACCCCAGTGACGTACCGGCGAGGGTCACGGGCAGCAGGGACACCTCGGCGTCCGAGAACACCACCGAGAACACCCACACCCAGTGACGTACCGGGGGGTCACGGACACAGGCACCTCGGCGTCCGAGAACACACGAGACAGCACACCCCCAGTGACGTACCGGCGAGGTCACGGGCAGCGACCTCGGCGTCGAGAACACCACCGAAACAGCACCAACCCCAGTGACGTACGCGGTCACGGCAGCGGACACTCGGCGTCCGAGAACCCACCAGACAGCACACCCCTGACGGCGAGGCACGGGCACAGGGACACTGGCGTCCGAGAACACACCGAGAAAGCCCAACCCCATGGTACCGCGAGGGTCACGCCAGAGGGCACCGGCGTGAAACCACCGAGACAGCACACACCCAGCCGTACGGCTCGGGCACAGGGGACCTGTCCGAGAACACCACCAGCTGGGCGAAGGCAAAAGTGCGGTTGGCGTCCGTGCCGTAGTTGGGCGCCGAAAAGTACTTGACCACATCCGGATGGAGTCCCTCGCGGAACCGGCGGGTCACGGAGTGGATCGCCCTGAGGACGGAGGGCGGCGTCAGCACGGGTCAACGCAGGGTCCGCTGACCCGGCGGGTCACCGGGCTAGCCTGCCTGCGGACGGCCAGCACAGGTCGGACATCAGCAGCTGGCGCTGAGGCCTCGACAGTCCTCAAAATGCAACCGATTTCCGTTGGCACGCGCTTGCCCATCAGCTGATGTCCGCATGACCCGGGGCAGCGGCATTGTAGTAGGTTCGCAATGCACGACAATGCCACAGTTAGCGCGGGTTTCGAACCAACACCCCGGGGATGTAGAGCCAATATATCCACGCTTCTCACAATACCACTCACAGCACGGGGGCACGCTGGCCACCGGCACCTACCAGACTGCCCTGCGCCGACCCACAAACAAGCGGCCCAGTCAGTGCCACGGTCTCACAAGTGAGACATGTGCGATGCTTCACGGTTTTGAACGGGACTTGCCCAATGTCGGGCTTCAGCCGACTGAACCCACGCGAACGTCAGCGTACGGCCATGCCGCGAGCGCCAACCCGCGCCGGCATCAGCGCCTCACGCACCTGGTCGAGTTCTCGAACGAGTAGAGGCTGCGCATAACGCTGGCCTTGCTCAGCTCCGAGGCACCGGCAGCACGGTACGCGTCCGTGCGCAGGCCGGACAGGCCGAAGAACGAGCCCGGCACCGAGCGGCACACCGCCTCCACGGTGGCCTTCGAGTGATCCTTGTTCTGGTTCAGGGTCAGGCCAATCTGCGACGACGGCGGCCGCGTCAGACACGTGCCGGCGGCGGGCGGGGCGGGGCGGACCGACTCCCAGTCACGACGGCTGTCCGCTGGCCATCGGGAACCGGCCCCGCGGCCAGCGCCACGTCGTCCGGCGCAAGTCGTAGGGGTGATAGCGTGGCCGTCGCGGGTCAAGGTCACGTGGTTCTCAGCCGGAATCCACGCCCAGAGACGCCCACCTGATCATCGCCGGGCTTCCACATGGCTAAACGCACACTTCGATATAAAATGACGCCAAACATCGCACATTCCATCTTCTTTTCACATGTTTCAAAAACCGTTGCATGTACCACGCATGTTATCTAAGAGATGCAAAACGCTTCAGCTAAAACCTTCCCCCTCCCCCACACTTTCTATACAAGTATTGTCCTATAGCGTGTGTCCAATCGGTCCGTCGCACCGCCAGCAGCACTGCTGCCATCTGTGGGCGACACTCACGTCACCGCTGCTGATGCCGTCCACGGGGACGCTGATGGCGTCGGCCACCACCTCGCCGTCGACGGTCACGTGGTACACCACCACCTTGAAGGTGGGCGCCATCTCCGAACTGACAGGCAGGCTGAGTGTGCGCACGGTGGCGCCAGAGGCGTCGTCCATGTACTCCTGGTTCGTGTAGAGCAGTAGGCCCTTCGACGACACCTGCATGGCAGAGGGCGGGGAGGGAGGGGGCCGTTAGAAGAACCTGTAACGTCACAACACACGGGCGGAAGGAGGAGGCCGTTAGCGGAACCTGTAACGTCACAACACACGAATGAGGGAGGGGGCCGCTTGAGTGACCTGTAACATCACAACATACGAGCGGGGGAGGGGGCCGCCTGAGCGCGCTGTGACGTCACCACACACGAGTAGGGGAGGGAGCCGCTCGAGTGACCTTTAACGTCACAACACACGAATGGGGAAGGAGCCGCTTGAGTGACCTGTAACGTCACAACACACGAGTGGGGGAAGGAACCGCTTGAGTGACCTCTAACGTCACAACACACGAGTGGGGGGAGGAGCCGCTTGAGTGACCTGCAGCGTCACAACACCCGAGGGGGGGGGGAGCCGCTTGAGTGACCTTTAACATCCGACACACGAGGGGGGAGGGGGGCCGCTTGAGTGACCTTTAACGTCACAACACACGAGTGGGGGAAGGAGCCGCTTGAGTGACCTTTGACATCACAACACACGAGGGGGGAGGGTGCCGCTTGAGTGACCTTTAACGTCATAATACACGAGGGGGGGGGGGGAGCGGGAGACGTCGTCCTCAGTTTTGCTCCCATGCTACTATGGGGCCACCTAGCAGAACAGTGCCGCATCGCTGCCGTCCTTTATCACGAGGAAGTCTTGCTGAGCACAAGCAGCCACAACAAACGAAGTGTTTACCACGCTGCCACTCACAGATCATTTGCCACCCAAAGGGGGCGGCCTCTCACTCCGCAGCACCTTCCGAACCAGCGACAGCTTCGTGGCGCCTCCGGACCAGCAACAGCCTCGTGGTTCCTCCGGACCAGTCGCCCCGCTCGACCGCGTGGCACCTCCGGACCAGTCACCCCGCCCGATCGCGCGGCACCTGCGGACCAGTCACCCTGCCCGACAGCGTGCCACCTGCGGACCAGCCGCCCCGCCCGACCGAGCGCCACCACCGCGCACTCACAACATATCCGAAGCGCTCCATCTTGAAGCTGGAGCGGACGTGCAGCACCACGTACTCGCCGACGCTGGCGCGGCTGGTGGACGTCTCCACGGAGATGTAGCGTTCCTCGAGCGAGAAGTACGGCATCAGCTCCATCGTGGCCGTCGCCTGCGGGGAGGCGAGGCGTCAGCACGGCCGTCGAGGCCAAGGCGGGGGGCCTGGTCGGAGTACACGGTTGTCCGGTGGTGGAGATCTGCTTAGACACAACTTCTGGAATGGTCACTACACAAGAACACACCTCAATTAGGCCTTAGGTATTAGAGGAGTAGCTTGGAGGTGCTAGGCTGAGCCCAAGATGGTCTGCATTCGCTGGGTAGCATTGGTACGCCGACTGGCTTGGCCAGGAGTTGGCTCTTCTCCCAGCCCTGCTAGCTCGCCGCCCACTACCCGCCACGGACCAGTGCCCTCATCGGCTCTCACCCGGCCGCCGTCGTCGTCCTCGTACTGGGCGGTGAGGGTGACGCGCGCGCCGCCCCGCGGCGGCATGACGAACGAGAAGCGATGCAGGCCGTCGGCGCGGTACTCGGCGTAGCGCTGCTCCTCCAGCAGCTGGCGCACGCTGCTGTTGAAGCGCATGCTGCGCACGTAGTCGGGGTCGAGCTGGGCTTCCCCCGGTCGCGGTGTCGTCGAAGTGGAGTAGAAGTCTCTGCGGCAGGCGCGGTGGGTAACTGCCTACGGCGGTCGGCCGAGGCGACGCCTGGGCAGCCGGTAAATCGGGAGACGTTGCCGCGAGAAGCTTGGGACACTGGATAGTGCATTCTGAATATGAACTACTTGATCTTTCACGCAATGCATCAAAGGCTGCAAGTTTTATTTTATGACTTCAGAATCCAAAAGTAAGGCACGCATTGATTTTGACAAACCAAAAACTCGCGTCTCTTTTCGGCAACGCCACACAGGCGCCTGCAATACACCTGCAAATGCAGACCGCACCGTTCGCTGCTGAGGCAGGTGGTACGAACTACACCCACGCCCAGCCCTCACAAATAAACGAGCCACAGCTCCCGACAACAATAAAAAAGACAGACGCAATATCTCTCCAACCAAGTGGTCACATTTGTCTGGCCGGTATAGGGCATCAATCACCGCGTGCTGTGCTGCTGCCTGCTGCGCCACCGTACCTGCCACCATCGAAGAGGAAGCGCGAGTCGATCGGCTGGTAGCGGGGCACCTCCACGCGGCTGCGCGTGCCCGAGCCCACGGCCGAGGCGGTGACCGTGAGTGAGGAGCGCCGCAGCCGCTCCCGCGGCAGCGGCTGGCCGTCGTGGTACGAAACGGACACCTGGCGGCACCGGATCGACGGTGGGGAGACGCTCGCCGGCCGCCGCCCGAGAGGTGGCCGTGAACGCGGCGCAGCGCGCGCCAGCAGACACGCGACGCTGAGTCCGGTGGCGATGACGCCGGGGATGACGCGCGATGTACACGATTAGCTGGATATAGGCACCTGGGCCGTGGCTGGCAGCAAGCGGAACTCACTCCTCGATAGTATAGTGGTGAGTATCCCCGCCTGTCACGCGGGAGACCGGGGTTCGATTCCCCGTCGGGGAGCTTTTTCGTCAGCGAATGTATGATCGGTAGCGCATTCGTAAAGCCTCGACAACGCATACCACCTAGTCCAGGATTGTTCATTGACCCGCTTGTTTCGCAATGTTCCTAGGCGTCGGACTTCTCTGGCCATGCACATGGGCAAAGCGTGTAATCCCTTTGGCCCCGAATGTCACAGACCACGGTATTGCAATTCCAGCCGGAAACCAAGCTCGAATATCCCGCACGGGAATGATTGCCATTACCAACAGCTGAGTTGTTGGTAGTGGCAATCAGCATTACCAGCAGCTGAGCCGTTGGTAATGCTGAGCTGAGCCACAGCCCACCTGACATCGCCAGCCACACACCTACGATACCCATCGACACGGCAACGTACCACTCCATCGAAGGGCATGCCGGGCTTGAAGACCATGGGCGGGCTGCCGACGAAGTGCAGGCTGACGCTGGAGTTGATGACGCGGGAGATGCAGTAGCCCGTCTGGTTGAGGCCCTCGAAGAACTCGCGCATGCGCGCCACGACCTTGACCTCGGCGCCGTCCAGGCGCGGCACGCGCGACACCAGGTCGGCCATTCGGAACCGGAACTGGTATGGGCCAGTGACCTGAGGACGCCCGCAGTTATCGCCGCTAGTCAACAGCAGCGAAGCAGGGGTCGCAGATATTTCTCCGACTACCAACGCTAGGTCCTTGTGTTCAACACTGAGCTGGAACTAGGAGCCCGGTGCCATCAATGATCCGTTCCCAACGAGGTCGCCAATAAGCCCGACCACAGGCTCACAACGCGGCCACCCCAACAACCTAAAACACAGACCCTTTTGAGAACACGGAACTCCACTGACTTCCTCTCCGTGATGATCTACACGACCTGCACCTACAGAGGGACTCGGCTCGCAGACAATGGGATCCTCTGCGAGCAGGCGCCTCTCGGGGCAGCACATCCCCCTCCGAAACCAGCACAAGGTCGCTCTGGCAACCGCACAGGCAGGGCTTTCGATGATGCGTCCTAGTAAATCACCTGATCACATGACAATTTTGGGGTTGATTCTCGATCAGCATCTCACGATGAAAGAAGCAGATAGGAAAGACGTGCAGCGCTGCTATGACCCCCTTCACCACCATAAAATATCCCATCTCCACAGCCAGAACGTTGGCTCAAGTCTCGGCGTTTTCCTGCATAACCTACTGTCCGCCGGTGTGCGTTTCACAACGTCGCTTGCTACACCGGATCGACAAAGCCACCCATCTCGCAACGCACGCCGTGATAGAAAACACAACTGTGGTCCGACCACACCACTGAGGCACGCCGGCGGGTCAACAGGTTGACGCGGTCATGCAGCAGAGACTGCATCGTCGTCCACAGACTGTCCATCAAGGGCATGCACCACATAACTCCAAGCCCCTCCTAAAGCCTCGCTCCGAGGTGACTGAGCGCATGGTCACCCGTGCGCTCACTGACTCGCCCCTCAGCACACGCCGGCGCCGACTGGGCACCACACAGAGAATTGTGGCAGTCTGTTCCGTTCATTCTTGAAACGGTTTCCTCCGTGGTATGCGACAGACTAGCAGTTCCGGTGCATAGATGAGTTCCGATGAAGTTAGGAGTTGAGTGGCTTCGGGGCGACACTTGTACAGTGACTTAAGTCTGAATGTGTCAGGGTTGCTATGTCCCTCTACGCGTTTTTACCTATTTTATACCATATATTTGCCACATCCGCATCATGAACTGCGTATAATTGCGTACATTGTACAGCGGTGCACAGTGCGCATTTGT